CAGGGGACGGCATCCACGTTGACATTTATAATTTTTGCGTAGAGACCGGCTTCCCGGAGGCAGGAGTTGATTGGGCAGGCATGGGGGAGTAGATCACTCCTAATGACTGGGCCAGGATGTTATTTTGTCTGTCTTTAGGAAGAGAAATTAAAGCGTGAACAGAGCAGTGGCAAAAGATCTCGTAACACTGTTACAGTGATCCTTCTCATTGCAATTCTCGACTGGCACGAAGGACTGTGTAACTCAGGCCTTAGATGCTTTCGGCCGGACATGAACTTGCTGCCGGCCAACTACTAGCGTTGCGGTTTATTCTCACATGAATGTCGACAACCGACTGCCGTTAAATGTTTCCACTCTACTGGAGTGCTTGATTCATTTTATTGCGAGTCCTATGGAGGAAGGTGAGGATAGATGGTGTGCCCTCAAAAATTGTGAATGATCTGGCCGACTATCGCCCCCATCACCTCGCGAGCCCTTGTCCACAGCAATCCATGCTATTTATTCCTCACTCTGTCTGGTATTCAGCAAGGTAGCATCACACCGCCCAGCCTGTTTAGCTGCGTTACTGGCCCAATTCTCGGACATGGCGACTGCGGCCGAACTGCCTTGCCAGTAAAATACTAGCATCGCGTGTGACTCGGCATCTCGGCTTAGCTGCACAGGAACGGCGATAAGTACTCTGATTTTTCATACTGACCCAACTGTGAAAAACTCAGCGCCTCGGTGGGATTCGAGCCCACGCAGTAAGGGTGAGGCTTTAGTACAGCCAACGCTCTAACCACTTGAACTACAAGGCCCCGCTGGACGACGCGAGTTTAATCACATTTTGGTCCAGTTATCCGCCCAACCTACTGCAACGTCTGGAATCCACCAAATCTGATACAGTAAGTTGACTGCCCAAGCAGGATTTCCTAAGTAATTCACCTAGAATCCACCAGATGACTACCAGGCTTACGTAATTCATAGAGGTTTTGGCAGCTTTTGGGCAGGTAACTTGACCCAAATGTGATTAAACTCGCGTCTTCCGGCGGGACCTCGTAGCTCATGTGGTTAGAGCGTTGGATGTACTAAAGCCTCCCACTTACTGCGTGGGTTCGAATCCCACCGAGGCGCCGAGTTTTTCACAGTTGGGTCAGTATGAATTATTCAAAATCTACCAAAGCCTCCATGAACTTTGATTTTTACTGATTGGCAGCAGACGGACATGTCTCTGACGCAGTTTACGTCTCACGCTGCCGAAACAATTCGGTTGCCCTGACAGTGAGGCAGTTGATGTTCTTCAGCCTGTGGACGTCTCTCCAACCACCGGGGTCTATACAATCGTTTGCGGCACCTCAACGCATTCTCATCGCCCCTTATGCCCACATCGATGCGTCGACCTGTGTTTCTATCTCATAATGAAATCTCCCATTCCAGGATCCGAGTCTAGCAGCCTTTCGCGGACAGGTTTGCCTGACCTACATGGACAAGGACGTTGAAGCTTGAGGAGGGGTGTGTCTGAGCTGCCAGCGGAATAAGATGCCTACCAGGCACCTTTCCCAACCCCGATGCATGGTTCAGCTGCATTCGTCTGAATATCGTCGGGCTTTTGCCTTCATCCAATGGCTACACACACCTTCTTACTCGCGTTGCTCGGTACACCCGCTGGCTGGAGCCAGTATCCTGCCGAATGTCGGGGCAAATACCTTCGTCAGTCGTTGGGTCGCCATATTCGCTACCCCATCTACAGTCACGACTGGGCGAGGCGCCCGTTTTTAGTCCACATTCTTCAAATACCCTCATCCTCGTGGGCGGCTCGCACATTTGGATGACAGCCCAGCACCCAGCCGCCAACGCCGTGGTCGAGCGCTTTCGCCGTCCATTCAAGACTGCCCGCGTGCTGCCGCGGGCTCAGTGGACTGCATGGACCAACTCCCTCTGGCGCTTTTTGACATTCGGGTGACACTGAAATTGGACATGGACCACGGCGCAGCCGAACTGGTATTCGGCACCACCCTTCGACTGCCAAGTAAGATGTACATCCCCAACATCTAACGGTGCCGCCGAGGATCCTCGAACTTTTGTGCTGCACCTTCGGCAATCCATGTACATTCTGTAGTTTGTCCCACCGTGAACTCCGCTGATTGACGAGGACTAGGCGGACTACAATCACGTCCTCGTTCGGTGTGGCGGTACGCGAGTTACTGGAATGCTACTGCGAGTCACCGTTCCGGGTAGTCTCCAGCAATGCCAGGATCTGTCAGATCCTTTGCGGTGACGGGGAAAAAGTGGGCTTTGACCTGGCCAATGCACGTGTTCCAGAGAAGCCGCCGAACCAATTCCAAAGGTAACTATGTGCTGAGCCCCCAAACCCTCTCACTACTCTACCTCCCCTTCCCTCTTCTTGTCCCGTCGGCCTTGACCACAAAGCCTCAAGTATCACCGACATTTGCATTAGTCGTAGCAGTCTTCGAATGCACTTCCCCGGCTGTTTTATTACCTCTGTTTCCTTGAGACCGCATTTATCCCTCGGCGCCGTTTTCACGCCTGTCCTCGATCCAGCAGGTTAGGGTACTGTGACGGTCTGTCCGGGATGGCCACAGTGACTGGACCGCCTTGTCAATTGATTGCTTGAGCCGCGTGTGACTCAGACTCTCGGCCGGACAATACAATGAATTCGATCGATATCCCGGCCTTCTCAGATAAGTCGCGGCTGGAAGGACGATAAGACGCCAACTGACTGATTTAGGTCACGCGGACAACATCGGCTGTTCAACCGCAACACTTGATATTCCGGGTGAAGAAGATCGCCAAATCCGTTGGTTTAGCCACAAGCATGGCGACGGAGAAGTATTCTTGGCCCGCATGTCCAACCGAGAGAATTCAGCACTAGCGATTAAGGACTGGCAGAGTGACGATCAGACAAATTCAAATATCACGGGTGGATAGTGTGCGGGAAACATCGCATCCGAATCAGTGGTGTTGGCAAGGTTTTTTTCAGGCATCGAAGGCACCTACAGACCCATAACGATGTTTAAATTGGCGACAGGAGCCGCGCATACTGGTCATCCATCCATCCAGTCAGTCCTCCTTTTCAGTTGCGAGTTCTGGTGTCGCGGCAGCCAAAGTCAAAGGCGAATCCTAGCCACTACGGCCCTCAGGCCCGGTTCCGAATGGTTGAACGCCAGTAAACAGAATATTAAATTCTGCACAAAACGATTGGAGCAAGTTGGCAACCAGACGAGGGCGCACGTTAAAGGCCAGGGGGGCAGGCGTCACGACTAACAGCTGGGCATGTATCGGAGCGCCTTCGACGAGGGTGTCTGAGTCGGCCTTGAAATTGATTGGTCGGTTTGGGTGACTGTAATTGGCCGAGAACCAGACTACCACTGGTACGCGTGTGCAAGTACGTAGCGTCGCAACAGAAGCCCAGAGTAGGGCATCTACAATGGTCTATGTGCATCGAAAAAGGACGAAAATTAAAGGTTGTTGACAAACGGTGCCCAAAAACGGTCATTGGGGCAAATTATATCGACTTCGTCTCAAATGGACCAGCCCGGCCTCGCGGCAACAACATCTCTGTCCTCCGTTTCGTGAGTACAATGCTGCTACCCTAAATCCGGCGCCACTGTCTAAGTAAAGGCGGTGAAGAAAAGTCTAACTCAACACGTGGATCGTCACCGTCCGTTAATAAGTGTTGGCTCGTGGGTCTCCTCTATTGATCCTCCTCGCTGGAGAAGAGAGGGTTGATCGAATCTTCAATACCCGCCGTTGCTGGTCGTCCGCGTGGAGGAGGGACCCCTGCGAAACCACTGGCAGATTCTAGAACAGATATCACACTGCAGTAGCAGGTAGAAGTTTTGAGTTGAAGATTTCATCAGCGTAGGGTATTCATAGGCATTGATGATATAACTCCTTCGCGTTTTTGGTCTCGTGCGGACGATCTTTTAAAAGCGAATCCTCAATTTTTATCTCCAGGCAGCTTCTTTATTTAAAGCCCCGAACCAACAACAAGCTGGGAACGGCCGCTCTAGTTTATCTTGGCCTTGCCGGCAATACTTATTCGTACTCTTCAATCATATGACTGGCATATATCCCTTGGATTTAGCCCTAAGGCATTAAGACCTCAAGAATATTCGGTCGTATGTGGTTTGGTAGCCACACCTGATGTAAAAAACTCCAGTTACCTCTGATACCGGACCGGCGATAATAGGGGTTTTTACAGGTGGACCCGGTGAAAGCACAGGTGACGAGGTCAAGCAGTGGCATGCAAAATAAAAGCTATTGGGAGTGCGTGGTTGTACATCTGTAACCCCTTGTCCTAAACCCCAACCACTAACCCTAACCTTAAAACCTTACCCTGAACCATAACCCCAACCCCAATAGTATCGTGTCCATCAGATGGGGCTACCAATATCTTACCGAATATTCTTAGTTCTTTCTGGCTTGGTAGTACAGGTGTGGGGCAGTCACATTAATGGAACATGGGCCTGGAAACTTAACGCAGTCATAAAACTGGTTAGTCTATTCTTATTTAAGAAACCCGAGGTAGACTGTTTCACCTAGGAAAACGCAGATTGCCTATTACCGTAGTTCACTCGCCTCAGCCATCATAAAATCTAGCAGTTTAGGTGATACAAAGTTTAACTAAGACCAATGGTTGGAGGGCGCTCACCGATCGTTTCTACGTCACTTTGGAGTTGGATATTGCAGAGTATGCTGCCCGGACTGTCTAGACATCAGGCCACATGCGCACGACCAAGGTCGTGTACCCCGGTTCAGACAACCTTGATGCTGATTGGCCACCCACCATCCTATGATATTCCCGCCTGCCATATACCCAGCCATGTTGAGACAAATGCAGGTGCGCTGGAGCGGCCATCTGGTGCGCATGGACGACGAGCGACTACCCAAACGACTCTTCTACGGAGACGTCGCGACGGGTTCTCGTCGTCAAGGAGGCCAAATTCGCCGTTACAAAGATACTCTGAAGTCCTCCCTGAAGCGCCTGCACATCAACCCGACCAACTGGGAAGAGCTCGCCCGCGATCGTCCGACATGGAGGAGAACAGTGAAGACGGGCGCTGCTATCTACGAAGCCAACCGCATCGCCGCCGCCAAAGTGAAACGCGAAGTCCGCAAATCACAACTTCGCCCAATACGCAACGCCGCCGCACAACCTCTCCCTACGTGTCCTCGATGTCAACAGACATTCCGGGCACGAATCGGACTTGTTGGACATCTTCGAACCAACTGCACCTCTCGAACTGCTCCAGCCTCTTCCTCGTCCTCTCTTCCGCCAACTAACTCTGACACTCCTTCTGCACCACCACTTCCATCCTCCTCCTTCTCCTCCACTGCCCCAGCGGTGGCCGTTCAGGCTGCCGTCTCACACATCGCCAACCACGACACAGCAACCGCAACCACCCCTACCTGCCCTCACTGCGACCGCACCTTCACCTCACACAACGGCCTGGTCGGTCACTTGCGAATCCATCGCACAGAGACTGGTGAACCAGTGCCTGGAGCACCAACCTACACCCATCGCACTCGCCTCCACTGCCCACAATGCCCTCGCACCTTCCGGCATCGCATGGGCCTATCCGGCCACATGCGCATCCACGAGAGCGGAATTGACCGCAGCCTTGACACACCCACCCCGCCGAGCCCCACTCCCAATCCATCACCTTGTGCACCCACTAACCACTCCCCAGCCGACATCGACGCCACCGACCTTACCACCCCTCACTCCTCCCCTTTCTCCTCCTCTTCCTCCTTCACTGCCACAACGACGGCCACTCTGGCGTCTGTAGCGCATGACTTGACCACAGCCGCACCTGACACAACAACAGGCACAACCCCTGCAATCTCCATCATCAGACGTGAGGGCCAGGGCTACATCTGCCCTCACTGCGATCGCACCTTCACCTCACGCATCGGCCTGGTCAGTCATTTGCGAATCCATCGCACAGAGACTGGCGAACCAGTGCCTGGAGCACCAACCTACACCCACCGCACTCGCCTCCACTGCCCACACTGCCCTCGCACCTTCAGGCATCGCATGGGTCTATTCGGCCACATGCGCATCCACGACGACCTGCGGTAGACAACCGCCGGTCACACCACACATTCCCTCACTCCCCACCTCCTAACACCATCAACCCACCAGACATCAACCCCCACACACCTCATGCACTCAACTGCCGCCTCCCACGCAAGTGGGAAGTGTGCATCTCGACTCGGTCCCCATGCGGTTTCGGCTGCACGGGTGACTTGTGTCCGAGACTATCCCGACACGTCAAGTGTCGTGGATAGGAAGGTTGCTGATTGAGGCTCGCTCTCGGTTCATGCAGTTCGTCACGTTGTGTGTGTGTGTGTGTGTGTTGTGTAGTGGCGGACTGGTGGGCTGCGGACGGGCTGAAGCAGCACCTTCCACGGCACTCTCACGCGAGTGAGAGACACGCCGTTCAACCCCCGTTGTGCGAAATCCTGGTGTTTGCGGTATGGGGGGCCAGGTCGTGCTGTGGCGCGCGCAGGCATGGTCAGTCGACCAAGTCAGCCACCGCGCCCATTCCCCACTCCAGTCTACTGACCGGCTCGGACAGTGGCTGGGGTGTGGGAATGGGAAGGGAGAGTGAGGTCGACGACTCAGCGCATTTTCCTCACTATAATCAATCTGACGCGCTTGAAGCTATCACGGTGCGCTAAAAGCCGTGGCTTGGAAGGTTGCCAACTGACGGGGTACCTTGGACCTCCTCCTTAACGGGAGGCGGTCTGAGAGTCAGGCTGCAATGGCTCCTTTTTAAAGTGGCCTTTATGGCATTCCCACCACAGCGTGGGATCCGAGCCAGGCGTTGGCGGCACGCCTAGGTGCGGCTTCGGCCGTGCCAGCCTCCAAATCTCTGTTGTGTTGGTTGAAATCCTGGTTATTGTTGTGTGGACCAGGGGGTGTGGTGGAACGCCAAGGTGAGGATCCGTCCGAGCCATCCACCTGCGGTCTCCCTCGTCTCCGGTCTTCTTGACTCTGTCTTGACACCGGGCCCAGGCGGGGGAGAAGGAGAGAGTGTAGGTAGATGCTACGCAAGTCTACTGGCACTATAAACCCCTGCGTAAGTCACCGTCCCAGCTCCCACTGCTGCTGTAGCTGTGGGGCATACGGTGGACATCGTCGAAATCGACGGTCGAACTGTCAGGTTCGAGTAGGAATCCAAAACGCCAGGCGAATAAAGTCCTTGTCCCAACGATCGTCCCTCGTTCTTCGAAGCTCCAACCATATTCAAATTTCGGGTCAGTGGAGGACTGGAGACGCCGAACCAGCCGAACATTGTCGGCAATCCTTCTCTTTTTTCTGAACTAAATACTTTGGTACTGAAATCCTTACGAATAAATGCCAGTCTACTGGCATTCATGTGTGAAAATGCCAAGTTTTGCTGACAAAACAGGTCATACGGTAATTTCCATTTGTGCGAACGTACGGGTGCCAGCCAATGGTACCCCAGTCACTACTGCATTAACGGGTTCGCGTCATGTTGGCTGCGATGAGGAGCATTTAATCACATTTCATCACCGATATATCCTGATTGCAGAAGGCTAGTCTGTGGATCAGTATAAACCTACGCAGATACATAAACGAGCGGTTATCCAACTTGTGAAATTTGCGCAATTTGCGAATCATTGCTAATTACTAGCAAACCGACGTTAGTGCGTGGACCTAATATCTATGTTAAAAAGAAGCAATTTTTGAGGACTTGAAAACGTGAAAGAAATATTAAAGATAATGTTTGTTGTCTAGAAATTCCAAGTTTTTCAGAAATTGGCAAAACCCGCAAACGTCAGAAATGGTTGCAATTGCGTAAACTTTAATTTACTATGTACAGAAGGTGTACTCTTGCAAAATACCGAGTGAACATAACAGCGTACAAAGAATAACCTCAGAAAATAATCTTTAAATAAAGTTTGCGTTTAAATATCCTTCAAGAACTAGCGTAATTTCATGTATGATGGTTCACCAACGCCTACATTCTGAGTATAGATTCCAAAACGATTTCTCTAAGATTCGTGGTGTTCTTTACGCTTTCGAATTGACGAGGACTCGGTTCAATAGAGCGAATAGGGCTTTGCTTGATATCACCGATAGGGACGCCACAGGAACAGAAGTTTACATAAGAGGACATGTTGCCAGGGGACCAATGACCTATAGACTTAAATAGAATCGACAGATCTCCATAAATGAATGTTTTCTTCCGTAAAATTAATTTTTCCTTGTTCGTTCTATATTACGCGGATTTGCAGATCGTCCTTTGAACATTGCGGAATATTTCATGATTTTAAATTTTTCAGTCGATTGACCATAGAGACAGATTTTATATCATGGGCTTGTTAGAACCTTCAAAATGAGATACGTCTTGAAGACATTAACCGAAGTACTGAGTGTGTAAGCGTTCCTTTTCCGATATAAGGTCGTTTCGGTCAAATGCGAAGACTCGCCCGAGCATGAATTCCCATTGCTGAATACAGTGAACGTCCAGAACAAAATACGACAACGAAAATGCTTCTGATTTATTAGAAAACCTTCTTTTAAGGGAATGCTTCACTACTGCATTCCGTTGACGGATGTCTGCGTATTTTACTTTTTTGCATGGTAAGGCCAAGGAAAATTTCGGCATTTCTGGCCATTTCTCTTACGTTGCCAAAAAACATCGATATCTTTACATCGAAAACGGAAGAAAATGCCTTTTTCTTTATAGTGTTCATCAGGTAGATAGGTGCTCACCGATAAGGGTACGGAACGTGCTCGGATGGAAATAAGTGCACACACATCCACTGGCCTCTTTGATGCAACAAACCTTATATGGGTAACAAGAGTTTTAAATAGACAATCACCTACTGGGTCATGCTGCACCAAGATATGACAGCAGAGATGCGAACAGACTGATTGTACCGGACCTCCTCACCAGCGTTCCAATGGGCTTGCATCATGTCGGATGCGAGCGGGAGTATTCAGTAGCCTAAGACAGCTGTTTACCGAGGATACCACAATGAGAAAACCGAGTATAAAACAGTTATTCGAAAGTGATAAGAAAAAACCTGAATTGAAATATTTTTGAATAACCAAGTCCGAACAGACTCGATGTATGACTCACACCTTTTAGCCGTTTCCTACATTCGACAAGTGAAACCATAGAAGTCAGCATAATAAGACCTGATAATTTTGACAAAGTTACTGCCGAAAACAGTGTAATGTCAAATGCATGAAGCAAATCACCCTTCCCGCCCCCCAACCAAACTCTACTTACAGTATAAGTACCTACTTGCCCGCACATTTTTATTCATTGTTTTAATTGCAATATACAGTCGTGATCGATCACAGTAAAGGTGTTAGCCGAAATGTTTCCATTAGGAAGGATTAATAAGGTGGTGTTGTAATTTTAATTTTCCTGTGGCATAATCCAATAGTGTTTCGGACTCGGCAGGAAGTCGGCTTTTGAATGCACTTCTTTCTGGCCTCCCGCAGAAACCGAACTTGGTAAAAAATGGCTACTTGAGTAGCATGCATTTTTCACATTGGTTTTCGATGGTCTTATAAATTCAAATATATTTTATAGGAAACATGCATAAAATATTCCTTTTTTACTTATCTGGTAGAAAATTTCTTTGTTTTTACATTTTATCTCTGAAAAAGTGCATATTTAGGTTTTGAAAAAGTCTCTCATCTCCCGAATAATTTAGAGCATGATTAGCCGCTGCATTAGCGTCTAGCGGTTTCAATCTACAAGCTACGTTCGTTCCGTATAAGGAAAACTATATATTCCTTTATGCCTTTAAAATGACACCATATAGGGTACAAAAAAGTTTGTAATGGATTCGGACAGTGTTCTACACTTCATGAGGAATATTGGTGGAGGGACATGTGCGATGCTGTATGGATGGAAATTGTACGGTCTTAAAAACCTCATAACTAGAAAATCTTTTAAACCGAAAGATAACGTTCCTTTGGGCATAAAATACGAAGATAGTGTGTTTATCTACCAAACAAGTAAGAGGGTATATTTTGTGCATGTTTCCTATAAAATACATTTAAATTTTTATGACCATCGAAAAGCAATGTGAAAAATGCATGCTACTTAAGTAACCATTTTTCCCAAATACGGTCTCTGCGGGAGGTCAGAAAGAAGTACACTAAAAGGCCGACATTCTGGGAAATCCCAAATGTCATAGGATTATGCTACAGGGTAATTAATTTTTACAATACCATTTTATTAATCCTTCCTAGTGGAAAACGCATTTCAAAATTTCGGCTAACACTTTTAATAAGGTCGATCATGAAATGTGAGTGCACAGTTGGTCGAAAACATACGTGTGCTAGCTAAATGGTGTTTTGAATTTTTCAATGGGGCTTTTCGTAACTCCACAATACTTGGTTTTCCCTGGTTCACACTTGATTAAATGCAGTTTTACTTTGGCAGGGTTAAGAAACCTGGTTATATATCCATTACCGCTTTCTGTTAAAAAGCCTTGATAGTCTATTCAGCCGGGCTTTTGCTTGCGGTCTCGAACGGCGGTTGTGGTTAGCTATTTTAGACATTTTCCATGACTTTCAGTTGCAGTTTTTGGGGTTCGCATCATCGCAGTTTTCTAGTGACAAGAAAAGTAAGGAAGGCCTTGTGGCATAAGTTGTTAGAATTGAATGTACAGTAGGTCGGCTAACTCATGAAATGTCAACCGAAATTCCAAAATCTGCTTTTGTGTCGAAAGGATTATTTAAGTAGGGTTGTAAAACTAATCATCCTGAAGCACAAATTCTATAATGATTAAATTACCTCAGGGAGTCGGCTTTTGAGTGAAATTTTTTCCGGCTGCATACAAAAGTTATACTCTGTAAAAAACGACTTCCTTAATTAACATGCATTTTTCTCATTGACTTTCGATACCCCTAAAAGTCCAATCATATTTCATGGAAAACATGGATAAAAATATTCATTCGTTCGCTCATTTGGTAAAAAATTACGTCTTCTTTTAATTTTATACTCAAGAGGACATAATTCGGTTTTAAGAAAGTTTCTAATTGAGGGACCTTTAAATACCATGAAATGGCCCTTCAAAAAT